GCGTCGAACTTTGTCGACAGCGAACAAAACAGCCGAGGTCCAACACAGCCCTGCCGACTGACAACATCATGGCCCGTGGCGGTAACGACAACGTGCCCGACCTGCCTGTAGATGAGCAGACCCTTGTGACTGCTACAGACCCTATGCAGACTCGGAAAATTCATAGCAACAGCAACAAAAACGGGACAGACATCAGATTCCACTTGGGGGAAACGTCTACGCTACAGTCGGGCATTTTAGAGGAAAGGTAGAAATAACTATACGTTATTTCTTTAGACCGCGTCCTAATCGGAAATTGAAGCACAGTAGGGATGGGATATTTCTAACCCCAGAACAATGGCGGACTCTGAAACGTAACATGTCGGAGGTGTCGACGGTTCTACTTGCCTGTACGTCTGCTGTCATGTCTGATGACGCGACTCTGTTCTCACCCTGTCGATTTCACCTGGGGAACCTGACGTACACCATCGTACAGCTTTACAGAGGGGCAGTGGTTGTAAGACTGCAGGAATTTTTCCAGCGACGACCAGAATTTCGACGCGTTCAAGACGAGGATGACCTTGCCGACCTGGTACCGTAACCTGTCCAGGCAACGCTCCACGAAAGATGATGCCACACCTACCGACGTTGTTACTTTGATATGGTTAGCGCCAGCATTTGCGGTAGATGATTGGACGAATGGAAACGTAGGTGACGTGATTTGCGGATCCGGAGTAGTCGATTGGTCTGCATGTACTTTACATGTAAAGTATGTGACGTACTTCACGGTGATTGGTGGAAGGTCTGTGGGTGTTGGACAGAAACTTGTATAAAGTGGCAGCAGAAACTGCCGAGAAACCAATCCTTCTTGCGGAGACAAACCTGCGTCCAAAGACGTCGACAGGGAGCGAAGATCGAGAGCAAAAAAAACCATGGCACATCAGCAGATCGCCCAGCCCGGAGCGGTCCTCCCGAACACCACCAGCGCCGGGGCCACCCCCTCGATCGTTCCGGACATCCTCGGCAGCGAAGGAGCGCCTCCCAGTCAGAACACCAACTTGAAGCCGCATGAAGTACGTCTACCATTGGGCGATAATGTGTTCCTTACCGTGGGGATGTTCAGGAATAAACCGATAATAAACGTGAGGCAGTTTTACCACCCAGACCCAGCTGACGTGAACAAGATGAGACCCGGGAAGAAAGGTCTTGCATTGACACCTAAGCAGTGGACCAAGCTGAAAGCACTTCCGCTACTGGGGGCGATCCTGGACGCTACGTGCCATACCATCCCTTACTACTTCGGGGGGAGTTGAGCCGAAAATGTATGACCTGGGATCTGAAAAGTACGTGACAGTTCAGATCTTGCACGGACAGACATCCATCACCCTACACCAGCACTACAGACCATTCGGAGCACCAGACACCGACCCTGTAATGAAGAGAGGCATAGACTTAACAATTCAGCAATGGGAAGACCTTGAAAGCAAGATGAAAGCGGTGGACAAGGTGTTGGAGGCTATGGAGAACGGAAAGATGCCAACGGACAAAGATGTTATCCAGTCAGCCATTGTGTATTGAAAATCGAAAACGAATAAAGCTTCCTGGTGGTTTGAACACAGGCAAAGACCTCATACTGTTGTTTGTATGACTATATGTATGTGTGTCTGTACGAATGTATACTAACTGGCTACTTGGGTGGGTGTGTCTGTGATCGGGCAAGTCTGGTCATGTACAGACACTTTATTTCGGAGCACGATTTACTTCAGAGCAATGAAACGAGTGACTCAACGAGTCACTCACGAGTGACTCAATGAGCGAATCACTCACGAGTGACTCCTTTTATTTGCGTATACGTTCAGCAATGAATGAGTCACTCGCGCGACTATTTTGTCTGTATATACACACATGTAAACCTATGTCAACTATGCATACATGTATGTATGTATGTATGAGATCTAATCAAAGAAAAGGAAGAACTGTGAAGGTCACATGTGTCTTGCTGGATCAGAGATCCCGTTGACAAAGAACTCGTAGGACGCTGTAGTATGAAATGTGAATTGTGAATGTTGTATGTGTTGTGAAAGAACCGCCGTGCATAGTACTCTAATGTGAACTGTGAATTATAATTACAGAATGTTTCTTGAATAAAGTGTTTCACTGTAAGGAAAGCATTTTGTGTCTGCGCAAACCTTCACTGTGTGTGTGTGTGTGTGTGTGTGTGTGTGTGTGTGTGTGTGAGTGTAACATGTTGCAACATATTGTAAATACATTTACTCTTGAGTAATGGATCAGTGACTCATGAGTGATTCATGAGTTGCAAGAATACACAATACCGACAACCATGGCAACTATACTTAGCTGCTACAAATACACTTACACCAGAATAAACAATTTACTCCAAAACAGAGTAATATTTACTCCGGAGTAATATTTTACGGAGTAATACTTACTCCGGAGTGATATTTTACTCCGGAGCAACACGTTTATATCGATATATGTATATTTATATAGACACATACATACACGTATGCTTAATGCAAACATACGTATACATGTACACTTTACATCGGAGGGAGTGTACTTGTGTTTAGTACATGCTATATCTTTGTTACGCACTTCCGTAGCATGCTTGCATACTTCGACACAGATATACGAAAGACAGTATGGTTTCGTCACACTTTATTCATCACTTCAATCAAGACAGTGTTGAGGAAGAAATGCACAGGCCAACTATAGCTATACGTTACTCATCAAACATAATATCAATACGACACGTCGTTAGGAGAAGTTGTCCTGTCGACAGGAGGACGATGCTGTATTATTTCTGACGAGGTAGCCGTACTTTTTCATCAATGTCTGCTCTGGGACCCAGCTCTTGTTGTACTCGATGTTGTAATCGTAACGAGGCAGGGCAGCAAACTCTACAAGATAAAACGTTTTGCCAGCGCGTTTTGTCTCTTTGATCACACGTTGAGGAACATCGCCCGGTTCGTGCTTGAGTGGAATGGACCAGTCTCGATAGAGCGTCCACTCTTCCTCGCCACCGCTGTCGTAACCGTACTCTTCACCCTCATCAGAGAAAGAGGAATTGGAAGACACGGTCGAACTTGCATCGCTCTCAGAACCGCTTTGATCGCTTTCGGTTTCTGTCATTGACTCTGCTTCCCAAGAATCCTTTACAGACTCATCTTCTGAGACGTTATCTTGTGACACCGTCGAGACCTCCTCCTCGGAAGATTCCAGCGACTCCGTGTCATGCTCGGTGGTTGCCTCCTCGGATGAATTGTCGGTGTCGTCAAAGATATCAGTGGATCGGTTTTGTCCTGTCTCGGCGTCCAAGACCTCTTCTCCCGAAGGCATGTCCGTCACGTCTCCGTGTATCGTGTCGCGATGACGGACGAGGTTGGCTTTTCGACTGAACTCTTTGCCACAGATGTCGCACGCGTGAGACATGGCAAAGACATTTTTCTGAAGGTCATATTTATTCTTGCTCCTGTTGCCTTTTTCCGGACAGGTAGCGAGTGAAACCAGAATCGGTTGGTTGGATTGTTCATCATTAAGAGGCTACCATGTTCTAATTCTATTTTAATCGGCTCTACCATACGTTTCTTGTACTTCCCGCGTGCATCACAGTGCTTGAAAATAAAGTCTCGTTTTTGTCCGAGAGACAGTGAAGCGATTGGAGCATTTTGTACTAGCCCTTCTTCGTCATCTCTGTGTTCTCCGATGTAATCCAAACCATCTTTGTATCTGTGAACAGAACAGAAATAACGTTACCAACACAAATCTCTACACCATTACACAACTGATCTAACACGTCAACAAGGTCACAGACAGATCAATCACAAGTGCCTTACCTGTTGATGAGGACAAAGTTGAACTCTTGTCCGGTTACTTCTTGTATTCTGTCTTTAATCATCCTTAACAGCGGTGACCAAGGCCTTGCCGGGATTTCTACCCCGGAAAATTTGTACGATAACCCAGGGTCACCAAAAGCAACTTGTTTCCTTGGGATGTCACGATACTTTCCAAAGATCTACAAAAAAAGAAGGTTATATATTGGATGTTTAGTGTCGATAGGTACTGGTGTATGATTGTAAAACGATGTTGACCAAATAGACAAGAGTTACACAGATTGATTGAAGGGATTCTGACCTGAACTCGAGCCAAGTCCCCAGTGTTGTAGACAAACTCATCTTCGCACGCTTGAAACAGGGTCCAAGCGACACTTGGACGGTACAATACCGTGTAATCACAGTTG